TTGTTATATACCGGGTGTTCAAACGTGAGTTCTATGTTTTCGTTGCAATTCAGTACTGGCGCTAACATGCAAAGCACCTTTACATTTAGGTTATCAATTTGGGGACACATGTTAAGTCAACAAGTAACGCTGTCAGCCGTGCGGTCATTTACGATTGAATAATGAACTTTTAGTAACTGCAGTAAGCGGGCTTGCTTGCATTGAAAAGGCGGAGGTGGGCGTGTTCACCGTTTGTACACAGCTGACCTTTGAAGAATTTTTCAAGCACCTATGGCATTGACGCTCAGGCTCTTTCAGGTTGGGGCATATCCAAGTCCCGCACTCTAGTCCAAAATTGGTCCAGAAATTCAGAAGTAAAACACATACGTGTTTTACTCAGACTTTGCCAGCTTAGATCATATGCTCTTGTGGTGCCCTGCGTTGCGAGTTGAAGACGTTACATCGTCCAAGTGGGATGCTGCACTACGCAGTACGGATTCAAGGACGCAGCTAAGGGGCCCAACCGGCCCACTACGTGGCGGTGAGGCTATAGGCCTATCTGTACCGGCGTGGGAGCGGCCCGCTACGTGCTAGTTCATGCCTCAGCAGACCAAAATAAAGTTTTTCCATAGCATACCATATCATACCATACTATACCATACCATATCACATCTGTGTGCTCCAAGACGTTGCGCTGCAAAGCTTCATTGCGTACCATACCATACCATACCATACCATACCACATCATACCATACTATATGTAGCTACTTCACCATACCTGTGTGCTCTAAGATATTGCGCTACAAAGCTTCATTAGGCTTTCAATGACTACGCATGCGAAGCGACAAATATTTGTGCGATGTTCTTGATATTACGAGCAGTCTTTCCTTGCTTGCCAGCCGCTTGGGAAGACTAGCCGTTCTTATTGGTGTAGACCAAGAACACGAACCAAGAAGACGAACACGAACACGAACGAGAGATGGATGCGCTGCCATAATACGTATAGGGATCAATCGACTGTAGCCTTCAAATATACGCCCATTTTTAGCCGTTGTCATCTTTGCCGGTGCTCAGTTCCACCAGATGAAACGCCGCAAGCAACTGCGGGGGTGAATGGAGAGAACACGAAGAATCTTGTGGGCAGGTTTAACGAGTGAATACGAATGCTTGCACTCTTTAGCCGTGCAGTGCTAGGGTTGCGAAGCCTTCCACCTGCGCGCCTTCTCGAAAAGCTCGCATTGCAGTCTTTACAAACCCACTTCCACGGAGCGGCCACGAAGGCAGACGTATAGAATTGGCTGCCTCTGTTGCTTGTTGATACTGGCATCCAGCAATCGCATGAATGAGCTGAACAGTGGGCAACGTCGGCTTGCTTCCTAAGAAGCCTCCGGAAGAGTTCTCGCATCGAAAGGGTGAAAAGATAAAATATGGATGATGGCATATTGTGCTTGCGTAAAGGGGCGCCAAGCTCAATCCTAGGTGCGTTTTACGTTTCTATACGCAAGATCGAAGTATGTAGTCCACTCGCGCACAGGCAGCGAAACATGAGCAGTATTTAGTCTGGACACGGACAACTAAAAAGGAATGAGGATAAATGGTTGACTGTGCTTCCTTGGGCACTCTCTGCCGGCAGTTTATGGAGCAGCTGCCTCTTATGGTCCAGGAGAAGGTGGAGATGGGCACGTTCCCTGTTTGTGTACAGTGAGCTTTGAAGAATTTTTCGAGCAACTGTGGCATTGCCACTCAGACTCTTGCAGCTAGAGGCATATCCCAGTCCCACACACTCGCGCAAAATTTATGGGGGCTGGACGTTTGTTTTGCGATAGCTATTTAGTCATCCATCAGCGAGACAAATGATGATCCGCACGTTATATTACGTGTCTGGGTCAGTATTCGCGAATGTTTTCCTTCGTAAGTGTTATTTAAGATTAACCGGCTGCTATCGCAGTGTAAGGCTGCGTTCCTAGGAACATTTCAAATGCAAGACGTTTTCCTGAATGCGGGCTATCAACTGTGTGCTCATTGTATTCGAAAACGAGGAAGTTGACTCAAACAGGTGTATTAAACATTTTACTTTTTCCAAGAACTTATGACTAAGTCACCCAAGAAAAAAGTCGCCCTGCAACAGGTATATTTCTGTCTGGTACTTCATGGCGCCTCCGACTATGTTTTATGCACAAGCACACATGTAGTGTGACCCACCAGCTGCATCTTTTTTTTACGTATTTCACCCCTTCGTCTGGTGTTATTCCAATGGGACTCTGCATCCAACGAGTTAGTAAATTCATTGATGAGAAAGCCATAGAGTACGACTCTATGTAGGTGTCTGTCGAGTTGTTTTCCAAAGTTAATATCCCTGGTTACACCCAATAACTTAATGGTGTGCGTCCGTAGCACGATCAGACTAACTGACGGTGAAGGAGGGACACAAGGATAACCAGTAACTGGGAGGTTCTGTTTGCTGCTGGAGGCCAGATGATGGGTATAGTATATGCACAGACACAAGAAAGAACTGAATGACAAAATGAACACAGACATGCAGGCACATAAATGAGTGGTGGCAGAGCGTGAGCAAATGGCCGCGTGTGTTCGCTTCTGTCACATAAAATAGGCAACTGGTCCATCCATGCGAGGCGTCAGCTACTTTTGACAGCCAGTGTCCACTCACATACCTCACAAATGTTATGAGCCATGACGGAGCAACATTCACTCAACGAAGTGCTTCCGTTTTTTTTTTCACCTGTTTTCTCGCTTTATACCAAGGCAACGCTTAGAGTTTGCTTACCTTTCATGTTGGTAGGGGCGTCTGACATTGACTGCGTAGCTCTTCAGTTGCCAAGGAATCGTGTCACGGCTATCGATCGAACATAAGTGAGTCGCAAAAGAACTATATACGGCCCCTGTAGGCGTGGCTAATCGCTTCTAAGTGCCGAAAACACGCAGAAGGAGCGTTTTGAGTGATCTCCTGTCAGAGTTGTTGTCTCGCCTCTTGTCTGACTGTAACGCGAGAATGCAGTATGAATGCGTTAATCAGCCGAATGTGCTTCCGCGCGAACAGCGCCGGTGGAAAGGGCTAAAGGCGTTTGTGTCGAGCCCCCGGTGATGTCTTTCGATGCATAATGCAAAAGCGACCATACAAAAGCCGACGTTCACGTGCGTCTCTGGCACTACAGTTGCAGCCGCCGTGGCTAAGTGTATGCACCTTTCTGCGCCACTCGCGAGTTGGGTGACGCGCCGTGAGGATGCTCTACTACTCGCCATGACACACTCAACTAGACGGTGCCCGCACGCCGCTGCAGTGCCGGTTCTCCGCAGCACACTTCACTGCGACCCGGAACTTTGCACGTTGCTTGCACAGGTGAGTGCTCCTTGTTCGGTGTTCGCTCGCGAGTTACGGCAGCGAGTCATATGCAACTCCTCAGCATGCATTGCTCGTAGTATAAAATCTTACAGCTGTTTTGTTCTTGGCAAGTTGAACTGTGTTCATGCTGTTGTCTTAGTTTCCGAGCCGTGAATACCTTTTCTGGCCATCGCAAGTGAAACATGAGCCGTAGTGTCTCCACCTATATTTATTCTTTGAGCCGAATTTCCTAGGAGAGAAATTGAGTCGTCATGAGAAACTCTTTGTGGAGGAGCAAACCGTACCGTTGAAGATTATAGGAAGGAGAAATTTCTTCCTACACGTAATTTCATTGAAGCACTCTAAAAGAGAACGCTCACTAATACGTAAATGTATCTGAACGTTATTTTTTCAGTACAGTTGTAACTATAGATTTATCGAATTGATTGGCATGCTCGAAATATATCGTTAAATTTGGAATTTTGTAATATCCAGAATGAGATTATCTGGTCCTTCAAAATCTCTAATTGTAGCATAGTGGCACCCAGGCGCACCACGCCCTGCGCGTCTCACCTCCTTGTGAGGATGGCCCAGACATAAGAGACACCATGTCCGCGCCATGCCGGCCAGGTAGACGGCACTTGGAGTTATGACTGCCGACCGACATGGGATTACGCGGAGAAAGAATGCACTGACTATGTCAGCAGGCCGATAGAGAGATATAGGAGGTGGTAATGAGTGCTATACGCCGCACAGACTATGAAATAACCAAAGCAACCCTCCCGCCTGTAGCATCATTCGTTACGTAAGAACGCCAGGGGCTGCCGAGTCCTTTGGTCCATGCCACTAGCGTGGTATGCTGCCTCATCAAATCAAAGCTGGCGCTGCAACTATATGACACGTATATGTTTCAGCACAATTGCGATAGCGTGAGAGCACATGCTCGAACAAAACCCGCCTCTGTAAGAATGAGAACGAAATCACCGCTTTCTCACTCTGCTACCTATTCTGGTGGAACTTTGTTAAATAGGGTCTGGTGGCTAAATTTTTTCGTTGATTCGTGTTGATAGCAACACGGAACCCCATGAGTGTTCGCCGGAGAAAGGAAATTTCTTTGTTAGATATGAAACTTCGTAAAATTAGGTGTAGTTGGACCCAGCTATAATTGTATTTTGCACTTATAACATGTCCAACATTTGATGTAAGCAAGAAAGCACTCATATTCACTTATTTCGAGACAGTATTTCAATAAATTCTAATTTGCACCTACGAATATCGCGACGTGAGAGCATATTTTTGCGCTATGGATTTTGCTTTTAGGTATAAGAGGATTTCGTCTTCGAAAATTTATTGTCCATACAGAAGTGACTGAATGATGGTGAAGCGCGAGGAAAAGCAGACATTTTTGAAGAGCATAGGAGAGGGAATCTTGTCCAGCGTTCTTCAAAAATATACGTTCTTTCTAGCGCTTCACCGTCATGGACGTATACCAACACGCCCAATTCATTAGAAATGAGTATATGGCTTCGAAGTTTGCATGCAGCGTTTCCGTACCAGCTCAAGCATGTCCCGGCCTTGCTTGTTTAGTTCATATATATCGCTTTGATCGTTGCAGAGAGAAGATCGCCCTCGGAAGAATTAGTCGAGCAAGCTTTACAAGAGACCGTCAGATGGTCCGGCCATGCTTTTCTTTCTGCACTTCCTCATACTACTGCTTTCTAACACTGCCGTGTCCCAACAACAGGAGTGCGATGGAACGTTTAAAAGACCCGCAAGACCGGAGGACCATCCGGCATTTAGCGATCTCGGGCGCGACCAGTTCGAGTCAATCACTAATTGTCCAGCTGCAGATGTCGACTGCTGCGAGGACGGAACTCTTTCTTGCTACAACTGGACTTACATTACGTGCTCGTGCCGCGAGGACTGCGAGGAGTTCGGCGACTGTTGCTGGAATTGTGAGAACAAATCGGTGGACGTAGACCTGGCTTCTCTGAACACCTCGAGGTGGGCCTGTACCAGCTTAGACCTTGAAGGCAACGTGACAAAGAACTGTTTTTGCTGGTTTCGCGGTGCAACAATTTGTGGCCCGTGCAAGACGACGTTCGCGAACGCTGCGAAGATGCGGATTTCAATCCCGGTGACATGTTCTTCAGGATTCCGGTAACGAGCCTGCGATCAAGGGTGACACACCGCAACGCCTTCTGCGCGTTCTGCAACTACGACCTGGATGAAGTCGTTTTCTGGGAAGTGGCAGTCGTAGGGAGTAGGAGAGAGCATAAGCTGCGACCTCCTGCGTTCATATCGGCAAACTTCGACAGATACATGCGCCAGTGCAGCCAACTCCCTCTTATTGGAGACTGTCCTGTGGAAACGAATTCTACCGTGACGCGCTCCTGTTGGGCCTTTTACGCGCCCGTTATCGAAGAAGCGTCCGGCTCAACGTACTACAAAAACGCGTACTGCGCTCGCTGCCACGGAGCCAACCTGACAGCGACGTCATGCCTACCTCCCGAGAAGACAACGACGACACTGCGCGTAGAAGTGAAGGTTAGCATCAGCCTGCCGGATCTCGACCTTTCCTCTATATTCCGAACGGTCGACAGAAATAGCACCTGCTTCTCGTCATACAACGGAGTGTGCTACATCCAACAGGTGACCTACCGGTACGCGAACGCTTCGACGTCTAATCCGAACACGGCCATCTTGATTCGCGGCTACTTGACCATCGTCTGCATTTCGGTCTCACTGATATGCCTGGTTCTCAAGTTAGTGGTTTACCTCATGTCTAAGGAATATCGTACGTTCTCGTCTCGCTGTACCTGTGCTTATCCATGACGTTATTTTTTACTCAACTGTTCTTCCTTGTCTTTAACGTAACGAACTTCGGCCGCGATGTGTGCGTCGCATCCTCCGTGGTCGTACACTTTGGCTTCCTGTCGACGGCCTTCTGGACTACCGTGTTGTCTTACGACATATGGAAGACACTGATTCTCGTCCGACGACCTAAGGGTAGCTGGAAAAGCCTCGTCCGGTACGCCTTCGCTGGATGGGGTTCGCCTCTAGTAGTTGTTGGCGTGGCTTCCATATTAAACTGGACAAAGGGTGACTCGCCACTGTCACCTTCATACGGCATGTCTCGCTGCTTTATAAATAAGAAGTGGAGCCACGTCGCATTTTTCCTGGCCCCCATGTTAGGGCTCCTGTTCGTCGACATCGGATTTTACCTGCACACAGTCTTCACCATTCGAAAGACAGAGTCGCAGTCTCAGAAGTTCGACTTCAAGGCGAACGAAAAACCTTCGAGGATCTTGCTCTTCGTGAAGCTGGCATCCATCATGGGCGTCTCCTGGCTTCTAGGCCTCGTCAGCGGGCTCGTCAACTCGCTCCTCATGGACTGCGTCAGTATCGTCTTCATTGGGCTACAAGGTGTTTTCCTGTTCTTCGGCTTCAGAGATCACAGGCACGTCTCCCAAATGGTGTCTTCCTCTTCGTCTCTGGTAAGCGGACTGTTGACGTATTCTCGATCACGATCCTCGACGACGGCGACGACAGATGTCACTTTGGGCGTCCACATACCTACCATTCATGGAAGTAGTCACGACCGCCGGACGTCGGATGACGTGGCCTCCGCTTGATCCCACGAAAGCATCCGGGGCGAGCTTTCTTCTATTGTCGAAAACCATCTTGCTTGCCGAGGTATATCGCGTCTAGGTGAAGATGGGATGCGCTGCGTGGGACGTCTTGTCAAAGCATGTGCGCCAGAGTTTTAATGCTGTACATGATACACGTGCTCGTTGTTCTGTTACATGAGTTTTGTATACCAGATCGGCGAAATGTAGCGTCAGCCGTCCTGGTGTTAGAAAATACTTGGCAGACGGCATATAGCCCGATGGTCACTCCTTGCTTTTATTCTAAAGGAACCATCACGGTAAGTCACATACGTTAGAAAAAAGATAAGTAAGTGGAGCGCTGCTTCGTTTCCCGCCGCTCTTGGTTGCAACACAACGAAAATAGGGTGTGTGAAATGAACGGTAACACCGCCGTTTGCATACCCTAGCTAAAATGGTCGCAAATTTGTCGTGATATGTATGGTGTGTGCGATGCTTACACTTCGATGTCACGCTCATGAAATCGCGCCGTCTAGCGGTGAACGCTTTTGACATTTCCCGTAATTTTACCTCAAGTAGCTTGTATATATTATGATGTATTGTTGTACTTTATTCATGCTTCCAGCAGGACATGACATCTTCGACGCTTGTATGAAGCATGTGCCACAGATGTAAATAAAGTCGCCAAGCAGTGCTGCTGAAACAGACTTCGAATCAGATGATGTGTATTGTAGGTTCGCCCTGTACCACACGTAAGAACATCTTTCCCGTATTCACGCTTTGCGCGAAATACGCGTACGTCCTCAGAGTGCCAGTAAATTCCTCCCGTTTTCAAGTTGTTATAGCCTCACACGAATCATTGTCGTCTCTTGTGAATATAGCCTGTTAAAGATATGAATATTTGTTCTAATAGATACTGTCCTCTGGTTTTCTACTTCACACACTTTACTTATGTGTACCCTGCAATGCTGTGCCAATTTCATATTATATGGCTTTTCATATGGTAAAATAACCATGAATATGTTTGCTTCATCGTTCGAGTCAAGCCCATGCTTGAGCTCTTGTATTTGCTGCAATGTTAGTGCACGTACAAATGGCACCGTTTGTTCGCTGCAGCCGTTACTCCTCTCCAGATGCTGCTGCTCTTGTTCCACTGGGTTCATCGTCATACATTTCATGTCTATTTCGGCGTGCAAATAGTCTCATCAAGTAGATAACTGCTGCTATAAATGATATCTACATAGAAAGCTCTAGAATTTGTGGCGATTCGTGAACAATGAAGCTGTTCGTTCAGAGGTACTGTTTGTCGTTATCCAACGAATTCTGCGGGTATTGGATGTAAGGTCAAGGTTGCCTGGCGTCTGTCGTTAAGACAACTCAAGCCCAAGATAATTTGTTTGAGCGCCTGCTTTGAAGTAATCTATGAATTTATTCAGTTCTCCGCCGCTAACTCAAGAAGCTTTTGCAACTGCTCTTCGTCTCCGTAAAAGTAGCATTGCGCACTGTTTCTTCTTTACGTTCTTGATTGATTGATTGATTGATTGATATGTGGGGTTTAACGTCCAAAAACCACCATATGATTATGAGAGACGCCGTAGTGGAGGGCTCCGGGAATTTCGACCACCTGCGGTTCTTTAACGTGTTCTTTACGTTCTCAGCTGGTTGACGGGACGCTTCCACCGAGAATATCCTTACCGTCATGCATCTGCCTCCTCGATTATGTGTGCGTATCTAGTCAATGCTCTTAACGTAGTCATTGTATGCGTACGCCTGAAAAGATGTTTTTGTGTAGTTTTTATTGTAGTTAATTCAAAAGCCATTGTGCGGGCGACTGTTGTGTCGAGTCGGGCCCTTCTGTGTGTGTGTTTGTGGATGCTATGTTCGTACGGGGTCGTCAGTGCGCAGTTTATGTCTAGAGGTACGTCTTTTGTATAAACCTATTGGCTGCATTAGATGTGTGGCAAACTGTACGTTGTGGTCTGCAGCTCTTAGAGCATAGCTTTTGTTTTTAATAAAGTTTATGAATATGTGCGAATGAGGTTTCTGTGTAATGAAAAAAAAAGAAGAATCGTGATCATTTTCTGCCCGCAATAAGCTTGTCCTTCGTAATAGAAGAGGTGACTGTTATAGACCAGCTGCCTCATTAGCTGCGAAGTTCACCGTCACGATCAGCCCGCGACTTTTGCAGAAGAGCACATTTGCGTACAAACTGGATCCTTGCGAGTTCGGACCCGTGGACTGAATTCACAAGGCTCCTCGTTTTTAAATTGTTATCAGCAACTAGAATGGCAGAGCTTCGTCATTGATATTTCAGCAGCCGTATTTCGCCGGTACCTTTAATGTACAAACAAATTTGACATAAATGAACTACTTTAGAAATGAGCACAAGTATCACATTCACTAATACATTTACGTATAACAACATTTTTCTGTTAACTGTACACTACTATATAAACATTCTAGATCAGATGCACACCTGCTTCACAGCATTCGAAAAACGTAATACGTAAATGACTTTTTGCAAACTAGTTTATATGCGAAAATATGGGCCAGTTGTGACTCAGTATTTATTTACTGATGGAAAGAGCCCGTCATTAACAATTTTGGGTCACGGTAGTGAATCGTAGTTACGGCGGTTGCATTTCGATGCAGCGAAAGGCCAGTGTACTTACGGTTTTGGAGCACGTTAAGGGAACTCCAGCCGGTCAAAATTTCTGGACCCCCACACTACGTTGTCCGTGAGTCGTATCGAGGTTTGGGGCGAAAGACCTCTCGAGTAAATATTTATAATCGTTTTTTTTACGAAGGAACACATTTTCTAGTCATCTTCCAGGTTTTCTGCACACAACGAACGAAATAAACAAGTATTGTAATAGTGATGACCACACAAGGCCTGTTAAATATTGTGTGAACGAGAAAGAGTGCCACTATCATCATGAAAAAAGCACCAGGGTTCGGAATAATAGAGAGGTGGATGGGTGGGCTTCGCCATGGGCACGGTGGCTCGTCATTTTCTCAACAATTTGGTGCCGAAACCCGGGAACGAACCAGGGACCTTTGTGGTCTTCAAAGGCAGCACGGCGGCTCGTTCTTTTCTCAACAGGGCCGTCGCCGAGGACCTCGGAAGATGTTACTCGAACGACGTGTCCTTGGCAGCCTATTCCCGGGGCACAGCAACAACCGTTGGACAAATAAAGTTCATTACAACACAGTTCAATGGGAATGGTCATCCGAAAATGTATTACATTGTCATTACTTTGCATCGTGTGTTAGAACCGATAAGTAGAATACTGAAGAGGGTCAATAAAGAAATGTGAAAGTATATGTGGGGTGTCGAGAACATTTATTTGTTTATGACATTGGTGACCCTGTCAGCGCCGACATGAAGCACGCACTCTGTGGTACTGAAGAGTTGTCTTCAAACTCATGGTGCCTATAATGATCAGGAGAAAGAAAAACGGGAGGAGGCGCTATCTTGCTGTGGGCACAAAAGTTTGAGTGTTTTGTCGGCTAAAACTCTAAAAGTCTTCTACTTTTAGAATTTTCACTTATACAGCTGTATTATGTCAAGTTCTTCCTGCATATGACATTGTTTTAAGTGGACGTGTTTTAGGAATTGAGAGCACTAATTTTGCAATGGCTGTGCCTGTCCCTCCCTGGTCATCCTTAAAAGACGTCATGATGATTGTGCAATCGCTGAGCGAAACAAAGCACATTACAGGAAGAAACGGTCCGGACCGGAGGATGCGCCAACTTGTCCAAGAGCCAACGCTTCTGCATTACATCATGGTGACATTGAGTGTCGCTTCTAAAATGAGAGAACGCTGGCTGGTCGCGAAGAGTTGGATGGCTTTCTTCGCACTAGGGGGGCACAGGATGCCGAATTCTGGAGTGCCAGTTGCTCGGGTGAGAAGCCGTAGGCCTCTAAGAGGTGTCCTAGCACTCTCAGTGTGCCACGGCGCAATCGTGGTCGTCGCGTCTGGATCCAGGCCCACTCTGAAACAAGTTGTACATGGTTGTAATTGCTTTCGCTATAGCAGTCGCCGCAACATAAACGCGTTCACGTAGCGCTGTATGTCACCAAAAGTAGAGAGGCATGTCGTCTATCCCGAGTGACGGTTTTGGCCTCACGTATGGAGGTTGTAGAATTCGCCACGAACAGTATAAAAGACCGATTGACAACTTCCGAATGTGGACAGGTAAATAAATAAATAAATAAATAAATAAATAAATAAATAAATAAATAAATAAATAAATAAATAAATAAAGTGTATAGCTGATCTCTTTGTGATAGGAATCTGTGTAACGCGAAAGTGAAAAGTATATTCACAAAAGTAGCATGGCTACTCTGAAGTAGCATGTTAGAGCTTGTATAATGCATATTGCCGTTTGGCAGCTATAGCACCCACGTTGACGCATCGTGGCACATCTCTATCGCAACGATTAACGCCCCTCATGATTTAAGCGCTCTGGTATCTGAAGTTGTCAACCAGGACACAGCGTATCGTACATAACACACGTACATAACAACACTCACATCAACACGCACGTAATAAGCACTTGTACTCGATGTGCACTTCTTCAAGGCACGTGTTTCTCTTTTTCTCAAGTGATATTGTAATGATATTGTAACCTACGCCTGTGCTTATAAGCATACACTAGCACACTGATTTCAGCAACACGGGTGACATAAGTTCGCGGATTGAGCTGCGAACGCTCGCAGGCGTTCCACGTCCCGCTGGCCTGTCTCGCTCCACCAAGGCACGACATTTACCCGTCACATCGTTGCTTTTCGCAGCGATTATTGCAGTAGGTTTATTATTTTTAGTTGGTGCTGTCGCTGTCAAAGCAGCCGGGGGCGAAGAAACATCGTTGGTGCATGTAGAAATACATAGAACTATCCCGATGATGAGCTGTCACAGGCTAAAACCAAGCGAGAGACGAAGAACGAAAGTGCGTTTTGAGAGACTCATATATGCTAGTGCGGCCACTGTTTTCCGCTGGTACCAAGACGCTTTAATCGTGAC